AAAAAATAAAAAAAACCTTGAATTACAATCTTGTTAAACTAGTTTATAAATAATAAATAATACTAAAATAAAAACCGCTGACATCATTTCTTCTCTAAATTGTACACATGTCAAGTTGTGGTGAAAAAAATTTCAGCCTAAATCAATTGCTGACATTATATTCTTATCTTTCTTTTAACCTTAGCGTTTTTTATTTTTTTTTTCAAGAACCTTAGATTATTATACTACCTCCGTTTCTTATTACTCGCAACAAAGAAATATTTTATGTCTCACAAATAATACCCTTTTGTTGCGAGTAATAAGAACCGGAGGTAGTATTATATATAATATTATACATTGTTTCAAGAAAAAAAAAATACATTATGAATTCAGATTTTCTATTTCTCTTTATATATATATATATATGAAGTTTAAAATTATTTCTTATTTGCTTGAAATCGTGTATAGTCCAATTACTAATATTTCGTATTTGCTTAAATTTTCATATTCGGTTCTGTATTATAATTTTTCTAATAATTTTCTATATCATGTGCATCGCACGAGACTAATCTAAGTAAAGATAAAATCGTGCCACAACAACATTACTGAAAAGATCCTCGATTTGAATACTCTAGAATTACTAGAATCTTCCAACTCAGCAAGACCTTCTCGACTCCTTGACTTATCTTTAGCTATCTTCCTTAATTAGTTCCTTGTTTAACTTTTATAGCATCATATGCCGTTATCTTTGTAATTACTTCATCCCTTGCATAATAGCTGACATAGTCAAACTTGATACACTTGTTAATGTACTAATTTGACCCCAATTATAAATAATCAAACGTAATAATTTATTAATGAGTTAATTTGTTCCCAAAAAAAAAAAAAAAAGGTCTTTACTTAAGAGAAGTCATATGGCTTGAAGATACTGGTTAGGGTGGATGGGTGGTTAAAGTGGTAGTGCGTCATGTCTTATGTCGGATCCACATGTTTTGGGGTTAGCTAGAACAAGCCCGGCCCACGATCTACATGTTGTGCCCTTGTGACGTGTCGTGCTGAAAATTTAAAAAGACGGTCCAAGCCCACGTTCCCTTGTGTTGGGATGTGCTTGCGTGTCTATGCCAAATACATTTCATTGATATCAGCGTGTTTTTATTGAGTCTCTCAATAAAAACAGTTCAGGTTCGGCCCACGACATGACACACATAATAGCGTGTATGTTGTGCTGTGCTACACCATGCTCGTGTTGGGCTAGTATGGCCCAAAACCATCATCTTTACTGGTGGTATCCAAGTTTGGATTTAGTCCCGTGATATAATTCAAGCTTTATTTGTATGTGATTGATAAACTGAATTTTTGAAGTTAACAAAAAAAAAAAAAGGTAATATCATAACGCACATTGCATGCTTGATTAATGTTTCCTTTAGTTGTCAATTTGAGCCTAATACTTACTCCATTTCTTTTTAGTTGACACATAAAAAATTATACAAAAGTGCTAGTTGTGGGATTAGAACCCACCACCTACAATACCAAAATAGACACTAAAGAGCTAGCAACCAACTCAGCTAAGTATATGTTGTTTAACAACTAACAAGAATTTATTACATAAACTTGAATTTTTAGGCATAGGGCGGGCCGTGGCCTAGGTAGGCCCGCCCCTGGATCCGTCGTTGACTATGGGCGATTTACTTCTAATAATCCAAATTAAGGTTTATTATATAATAATTCCAATTCAACTATGCTATGAGTTTGTCTCCAATGATCCCGATGACCGGTAACCTACTAATTAGTTTTTTTTTTTTGGGTTTCAATAACCACGTGTCAACATGTGATTGGTCAAAAATAAAATAAAAACATAAAAATAAAAAATTAAAAAAAACAAAACAAAAAAAAATTCACAACCACCTTCCCCCCACAGCCAAACCCGAACCCCACCCCTAACCTCACCGGATACCGGTCGGCCACCCTCCTAACCACCGTAACTGGTCGGCCGCCCCTCTACACCCCATCTGACCCCACCTCTGAGCCTCGAAACCACCCATCCAGCCCACCCCCAACCACAAAAACCACCAACCTGACCCTTGATATCAGGCCCTCAATACTCTTTTCCTTCGCCGCCAAAACCTCCCCTCCTCCCTTTCCCCACCGCTGAAACGGCCAGCTTCGAGGGTGGGGAAAGGGAGGAGGGGCGGTTTGGCGGCAGAGGAAGGGAGAGGGCGCTTGGTTTCAAGGGACGGGTTTGTGGTTTTTGGAATCGGAGTGGGCTGGGTGGGTAGTTTCGGGGGTCGAGGTGGGTTAGAGAGGGTGTAGAAGGTCGGGCGGCTGGTTTCAGTGGTTAAGGGGGGGTGCCCGGCTTGTTTCGGCGAGATTAGAGGTGGGGTAAGGGTTTGTGGGGGAAAGGGTGGCTGGGAATTTTAGGGGTTTTTTTAATTTATTTTTAAGTTTTGGACTAATCACGTATTGACACGTGTCATATTTACCTGTTATAACTGGTCATTGACTTGGTGTTGAGCAGTTGGGATCATTGGAGACAAACTGACAGCATAGTTGAGATTATTATATAATAAACCTTAGTTGAGATTATTAAAAGTAAATCGCTTATATTGGAATTATTATAGTGTATTTTTCCTTATTTTTAAATAGAGGATTATAAATTGTGATTTATTTTCCACGAGAGTAAACAAATCTCTAATATTAGAAAACAATCATATGTAAATCATTAATTTTTCATAAAGATAATATGGAATGTCATGAATATCAATAAGGTTATCGCTACATCATATCTTACTTTTACATAAATAATCTTAAGGATATTATCCTTCTAATATCAATAAGGTGAATATATCACCCCTAACATATTTTCATGTAAGATCATTATCATACCTCTAACATTTCCAAACTTCTATTTATACGCGTTATTACAAAATGTTATCAATTAAAGAAATTCAGCAATCATGTCAATTTGACATTTTAGGCTTTGTTCATTTCACCTTATTTAAGGTATAGCAATTTAAAATTTTTTATGTTTGTCTCCCTGAAATAATCTGGTCTTGATCATTAATTTAATAATATTATCTTATCTTAATTTTTCATGGTTTAATCTAGTTTGGTATGATTTTTCTTGTCTAGTTAGTTTTGATTTTAATAGGAAAGCAAAAAGTGAAGTAAAAAAAATAAGTCTCAGGTATGTTATATTCACTTGATTTTCACTTATTAAAACTTATTTTAACTTATACTACCTCCTCATAACTATTGTAAAAATAAGTGTTTCAAAGGCTACAAATAATAAAAGAATAATAATGTATTTGATTAATCAAAGGAAGACGGTGTGACGTGACATTTCGTCACTGACTTTGAAAACAAATTCCGACGCAACCGGGGTGCACATTGTATCGCCGGTACGTTCCCTAAGGTTGCACACCACTCTCACTCAAAGACACTTTTGGGTGAGAGGTGAAGCCATATAAACTTATGCCCAAATGAAGAAGAAATGTGTTTAGCACTTTGTGGATAAGTATATTGTAGTACGTCTATTCTCTTTGAGCTAATGTTCCAAGCAGTATATAAACAATGTAAGGAGTTTCAAAGAATGAATCTGTACACCAGTGGAGTGATTAAATCAGAATAATGAGGTTGATTAAATCACTATAATCATTCACTTTAATGGGGGGTTACAAGGGAATCCAAGAGAAAGAAGAAAAATACCAAGAGAATGACTTTAGGCATAAAAAATCTACTCCACAACCACTTGTGGGCAATCGTTGTTGGCCACAACCCACTTGTGGAGTAAACTGATTTCATTATAGAATAGACATGAAAAAGTCTACTCCACAACTCACTTGTGGGCAAACGTTGTAGGCCACAACCTACTTGTAAAGTAAACTGATCAACTTCTAAAACACATGGATTTTACTCTCTTTAATCCAACAATAACATCTTTGACATATTTTGTTTTCTATTTTGTAATGTTCTAAACATATATACTTTAAACCTTTTTCGGCAAATCCTTTTATAATGCCACTTTTTAACTTTTGCATTAATCACATATACCACTTTGACGTCCGTTGAAAGCGTTCTACCAACCCATAATTTCTCTCATCATCTCATGTCAACCTTGCTCAAATTAGCGAATAAGGTTCCTTTGGAATGGTGAGTACGAAAGGAGAAAAAGGGTTAAGAAATCCTCCACCCCCCCCCCCCCCCCCTTTTAAAGGTAAGGAGAAGACTCCTGACCATATCTCAACCCTCACGATTTTTTTAATCTGATATTTGCGGGTTAGACATTTTGAGAGTGAGGGGGGAAGGGTAAGAGATCTTTACCCTCAAAGTGTCTCTATTCCCTCCGTGTTTAAATAAGTGTTACACTTACCAAATCCGGCCGTATTTTAGTAAGTGTTACACTTCCTTTTTTGGCAAAAAGCTACCTTAAATATTGTATCTCTCTCTACTCATGGTCCACACTCAGACCCACTATTACTTTTTTATTATATACTTCTTCTCACATTCATTATTTTTCAATAAATTATTAACCCCACTATTTCTCTTATACAATATTTTAGTGCTCCAATTACCTCACTTACGTCTTATTTTATTTAAGTCAATTAAATTGTCTAAAACTATGTGCCGGTCAAACTGTAACACTTATTAAAACACAGAGGGAGTAATGAAGATTGAAAACTCTGATAGAGTATAAAACATATTCCTAGACCTCAACCACCAGCTTAAATATTTGGTTGAGATTGTTCTTTAACATGGTATTAGAGCCAGCGTGACGCAAAGGTCACGAGTTCGAATCTCATCCACCCCCCACTACATCCACAAACATATTCCTGATCCTCAACCATGCGAATTATTTGGTACCCAAATCTTTCTTCCATATTCCCATTTTCTCTACCATATGGTCCACATCTCTTGTGCACAGAGTTTGTATTACGTAGTAAAATCTGAAACATTGTACGATAACAACTATTGAAAAATAGGCAAAATGAGTGACTAGAAGTTTGCAAAGTACAATTGCAAAATTGATAACGATTTCAATGTGTAATGTGAACATTAAACAGTCAAAAATAGCAAAAATAAGTGTCTACACTACACCTCGCCTCACAATCTCTTTCAATTCACAAAACGCTGCAAAAATCTGCAATTTTCACACCTTTTCTCTCTCCTATAAAAACCCAACCTTTCACCCATCTTCAACCCAGAATAAACTCTTCATTTCTACCCACATATAGAAACTTCCAGAAAAAAACCCAGAGCAACAATGGCGGGACAAGAAGTGAGCAACAAACAAGTGGTCTTAAAGGATTACGTTGTTGGGTTTCCCAAAGAATCAGACATGGAGTTCAAAACTTCAAAGATTAACCTTAAACTTTCAGAAGATTCTAATGGGATTCTTCTTAAGAATCTTTACTTGTCTTGTGATCCTTATATGAGGAGTCGTATGACCAAGCATGATCGACCTACTTATGTCGAATCTTTCGTACCTGGATCGGTATATTTTATTTTAATTAATACCCATTTCATTTTTTTTATTGACTGTTTGATTAATTAATTGTTTGATTTTTCAATCTCTTGTGATTATTTTAATATTTGCTGATTGACTAATTATAATTAATTGATTTGTTTTGGGGTTAAATAATTTGTAAGTGTGTTACCTTTTCTTTTCATCATTTCATGTTTTGTAGTGTAGTGATCTTGTTATAAACTCTGATTTAAGGAATATGACAGTTAAAATGAATTTTTTTTTTCTTTTTTTTTTTTTTGAGCATTAAAATGAAATATATTTGTATTTAATTAATTGGGTTTATATGATATTTGAATATATTGTATGCTAAAGTATTATTAAGGGTCGTGTAATAATCTAGAAATTTTTGTTGCATGTGTTATTTGGGAGATAATTTGCACTCTTTGTAATTTATAAGTGTTAAAATAGGCTTTTGGAGTGTTAGAATCAAAGCTGAAGGTGGTTTAATAAATTTTGTTACATTAATTTTTGGCTACATGGGTGTTGCTTGTGGAGATTATTTGCATAAGTGGTTTTGGAGAGCATTTTTGAATGATCTGAGGAATTTTGTTATGAAATTATGCATATGAAATCACCGATTTCATAGTCTATTGCCCGGTATCACGAGTGTGTTTGGATAGGGGAATTTTGGAGAGAAAGGGAGAGAAGAAAAAGTAAAGGATTCATCTTCATTTGTTTGGACATGACATGAGAGAAAGGAAATGGAGAATAGGAAGAATTCATTTTCTTTGCCTTCCTTTCCTTCCTCTTTCCCTCAACTTATATCTCCTCACAAATTTGGTTTATATAGAGCATTTTAGAGTTAGAGGAATGGTATAGAAAGTGAGGGATCAATCTTCCCTCGTTTGGATATGATGTGGGGGTTGAGGGAAAGGAAGGGGACCGGAGGAATCCATTTTCGTTTTCTTTTTATAAGTTAAATCCTTCAGTTGTTTGAAAATTTGGAATAGGAAAATGCAAGCTCATCTCTTCCCTTCCGACCCCTCCCTTTCCTTCCAAAATAGTTGACTGAACATAGTGTTGAAGGGGACGGGAACTGGATCCCTCTAATTCTCTTCCCTAATTGAGCAACGTCATATGACTCATATCCGAATAATAAAATGAATACTACACTTTATTTTCCCTCCAAACACACTGTAAATTCGATAAAAGGGGTAGAAGATTATAGACTTGTACTTAATAATCTCTGGCTTAAAATTTTTTGTGTGCTAATAGCAGCTCATGTTAAAGGCAGTTAGTGGCAATACTATGGATCTGATCTCTCATAATGGATGTAATTGCCTATCATACACTTGCACAGAATGTTTACAAGTTGATTTTCCACCTATTATGGATATGATCATTCTTCTACACCTTTCATTCAAGGTTTTATGTTCAATATGTTTGTCGATTCTTCTGTTTCATGAGATCTTTATTAGGTGATAATTTCTGACTGCCTATGTGCACGTGTACAAATTATGAGAGATGATTTAACGTTATAAGTCAGTAACCCATAATTGGCCTGCTCCTTGTTAACTTGTTATCTATCGAGTAAAATAGAAAATTTTCAGACTACAAGAATGATTAGGAGATTTGCTAAAGCTAGAGTTTAGGGAGGTGAGCTTTGTTCTGTGGCTTTGCCACAACTTGTTACCTTGTCCTGCCAACGTTCTCCTTGACCCGTTATATAGAATTTGGTTGGCCTTTAAATTAATAAGAATTATGGCATGCTAAACATGAAAATCGTAAATGTATCAACAGTCCTTCAGAAATTAAGAGCAAAATTTGATACTTCTGTTTAATTTTATTTTTTTTTCTAAAAAAAAAAAAATAGTGATAGAGGGTTTTTGGTGTGACGTGAAACTTCTGTTACCTAAAATGCTGATTTTCTTGCAGCCCATTATGGGGTATGGAGTGTCCAAAGTGCTGGATTCTCGGCATCCAGATTACAAAGCGGGTGACCTTGTATGGGGAATAACTGGATGGGAAGAATATAGTCTTATCTCATCTCCACAGTTATTCTTTAAAATTGAGCATACTGATGTGCCTCTTTCCTACTATACTGGGATTCTTGGTAAGCTTTTGTGTTTTCTTTAATTTTAATTTTTAGGAACTCTTAATAATGTGGTACTAGTTGAACTATAGTATCTTTTTATAAGAGGGGTGGAAGGGTAAATAAAATTATGGGAAAATAGATAGAAAAATTTCTGACTTTTTCATTTCAGTTTTTGTTCTGTTTGCTTGGCAAAACCATTTAATGTTCTCTGGAAATGCTATTTGTGGGTAGAGCTGCAAGAACGTGACAAGCATTGGATTAAGCAATAGCTTCAGTTTTAATTATAGTAGAGTTGCAGAAGAATAAGATGATGTGATAGTTGATGAAATATGTAGTAGTTAGGAGCATTTGTAGAAGATATTATAAATGGATAAAATTCTACAAGGTTAGGCATCTGAATTGGATGAAAAACTAATGCATGTTAATAGATTTAACGAAATTTGAGGTTTTGATTATGAGGAGGGAGAAATAGATTTGTAAATCAGTGCTGATTGCTGATGAGGGCAATAAAAAGGCATACTCATCACTCCAAGTCAGGATAGCTGAGGCCTAAGGGATCATAACTGGGACTCACAACCTCACTACCTACAGGCCACAAGGAGACGGGGAGGAAATCATACATAATCATACATAATCTAGGATGACCTACCTGTATGCTCTCATGTATCAATATACTGTATAAACTGTTTTCAAAACTTGGGCTTTAAGAAGCAAATGAAATGATATATTACTGTGACCTTGAGGAATACCATAAGAATCTTTTTTCCAATAGGAGGTGGTTCCTGCTAGGAATTTTGCAGCTTTCTAATCTCTGCTCAGCTATCAACGTATAATTCAATTCATTTGATATGTTTGGCTTCTATCAATTTGTAGGTATGCCTGGCATGACAGCCTATGCTGGTTTCTATGAGGTTGGATCTCCTAAGAAGGGAGATCGTGTCTTTGTCTCCTCAGCATCTGGTGCTGTTGGTCAACTAGTTGGACAACTTGCTAAATTGAATGGTTGCTACGTTGTTGGAAGTGCTGGTAGCAAAGAGAAGGTGATATTCTTAATTCTCCATGTTTGACTGTTACTTGTGGTTGACATCCTTTTATGATTTTTGTCTTAGCTAAAAAATTATTATTGACAAACAGATTGTTTTTGATGTAAAATTTGCACTTGGTAGAGAATTCTTGAATGCTAGTTCGATACCATCAAATAACACTTGATTTTGAAGGATGATTAATGAAATTCAGTTGCTAAATCCTTTTTTGGCTTACTTTATGTTCATACAACTTTGCAATTAAAATCTCTTTGCCTTTTTGAAATATATATTTCTGGTTCTCACTTGCTGTCACAACTTCCTGCATGTTAGGTTGATTTATTGAAAAACAAATTCGGATTTGATGAAGCCTTCAATTACAAGGAAGAGAAAGACTTAGATGCGGCCTTGAGGAGGTGAGTATATACATGTACTGCCAATATGTACTTCATATTATGTATTTTGCCAAATCCCTAACTTTGTGCAAAAAGGTATGTCTAAGTAACCATTGCTACAGTGAAACATTCGTCATATAATGTTTATGCCAAATCCTTAACTTTGTGCAAGAAGGTATATCTAAGTGACCATTGCTAGAGTGAAACATACATAATACAAGGGGAAAATGTATTATATGAGCAGTTAAAAAAAAAAAAAAATTGGGGGGGGGGGGGGGGAGGTTGGTGGTGGGGTCGCAATTGTGAGAATTGTTATTCACAAAAACACAAATCTTGAAGATTTTATTAAGACTGCTGTTCTCAAATCCTGATATCCTGCTTTGTTTAGGTATTTTCCAGAGGGAATTGACATTTATTTTGAGAATGTTGGAGGGAAGATGCTTGAGGCTGTTCTATCCAACATGAGACTCCATGGCCGAATCCCAACCTGCGGAATGATCTCACAGTATAATCTCGAACAGCCAGAGGGAGTCCACAATTTATTCGAAATCGTAGCCAAACGTATTCGTATGGAAGGATTTATAGTTTTTGATTACTATCATCTCTACCCTAAATACCTGGAAATGATCCTACCACACATCAGGGAGGGCAAGGTTTCATATGTTGAAGATGTTGCTGAAGGCTTAGAGAGTGCTCCTGCAGCCTTGATTGGGATCTACTCTGGCCGTAATGTTGGGAAGCAACTCGTTGTCGTGTCTCGTGACTAAATTCTATCATATGAAGTGTGAACATGCTGTGTTGAGCCTGTAAGTTGTAAGTGATGATGTCTGTGGGGAGTAGAATTGGGTGATATCTATTCCTGAAAGATTAGTTGTAGCAGTAATTAAATATGTATGGTACTTGTGCATTTTGCACGTCTTTTTATACTCGTACTTGATAATACGGAGTACTAATTAAATCTTGAGCTCGCAGACATTTGTGCATTTTTGTTTCAACAAAAACAGCCAATGAAGACTAATATGTCTTGGCCTTTTGGGTTCACTTAGAGAGAGTGCTTGTACCATTTTGGATTCACCTTTGCATATTTGGGATAGGTTTTCTTACCTGTTTCCCTCTTAGGCCCTGTTCTTTTAGACTTATTATTATTATCATTATTATTATTGTTATTATGTTATGAAATATATATTAATGTATGTTCATTATACTTTTGTAACCTATTAAGCTTTATTATTTCCACTTTGTAAACCCCTTTGTAACTTCCTTAGCCCTAACTCTTCTCATAATAGTGACTTCTTATTGTCACTAGGAAATTACAATGATTTAATGTATATATATATATATGTTGTATGGAAAGTGGAATAGACAATGAATATTTTGCACTACATCTTCATCTTTTATTCTTTCTTTTCCTCTAATTTATAATACGTTATCAACATCAACCCTAGCCGACTGAGCATGCGAAAATTAAAGGGATATTAGTGATATTGAGGTAAGTATCATTGTTCTTAAAACTTTACTTACGAGATCAATACATAGTTATGCATCATGAGCCTTGTATATATTGGATGTGTTGCAATGTTTCTCGATGTGGTATTAAATTATCATGTCTAATCCAAATTTTGTTGAATTATAAATATTGTTTCTTGTTGTCAATGTTAAATTGATTATGATACCAACCTTTATTTTTGAGAGGGATTGCATTTATATATTAGAATTTAGAAGTTTTATATGACACCATACCAGTCTAAATTAGATCGATGTTGTATTTTTCTTTGTTTAACATACAAAAAGTTTATGGGTCAAATTGCTACAAGTATCTTTTAATTGCACTAACTAGATGGTTTTTAATTATTGTCGTAACCTTGTATGTATGATATTACAGTTATAGAACTTATAGATTATTAGATTCCATGTGATAAAATTTTTACTTTTCTAATTAGTCATTGATTGTTGGATTAAATTGGTTAGAAAATTTTTACATTTGTGATAATACTTCTTGTTTGATTATCAACATACAGCTTAATACCACTATAATATTATACTGTTTTTGGCCTATTATGTTTACAACAATGTCGAATAATATTATATATGCTCTTATGTGTGCATTAAATGAAATTTGTTCCAATAATTTTCTTCCATCATATATAATGTGATGATTATAATTGTATATTCAAAGTCTTGGCTTATTAGGATTAGAATTTATGGTCTAATTCTTTCGTATTGGATTTGGTTTCTTCATGGGGTGATTATTCAACTCATACTGAATATAATATATTTTGTTGTATACATATATACTTTATTAAGGTACATTACTCGTACTCTAGTAATCAGGTGTGAAGTTTGTTAATTACTGTACAATTCAATTAAGTATTGCTTGCATAATTATGTTTAACAATTCCTCTGTATTGTTTAAAAGTAAAATTATATATTAATCCTTAATTGTCCAGTTAAATTTACATATTTTTGATATTTTGAACATATTAAAATTAACTATATAATATTTCATGCGGAGTATGATGAGATATCAACCAATCCTATGATGAGTATATGTTTTCAATGAACTAAAATTTGTGGACTAATTATCTTATCGATAATGATTTAATTAGTGAGATTACTTATACATGGATGATGTATGTCATAACCTTATTGAATGATTATTCTTGACGAGCCCAAACTATGTTAGAATTTGTTTCAAAATGAATTTGAGAAAAATCATTTATTTTGTTAATTAGATGTGATAGAAATTGGTGAATTATAATTTGTAATGACAATGACTATTAGATGATATGCATATAGTTTCATGTGAAATAAAGAAGACAAGTACTACTAGTAATTTGCAAGACAATACTCTATAATTGCATATTCTTCTCCACTTCTAGACTAGTTTCAAATTATATCATATACACACCTTATAATTGACCTAAATTTGGTACCATGGTCATATTATTAGTTAAGTTTATATTATTATGAAGCATACTATCTTGATTTTTATATTAAAATTAGATTGTGTGATTTCATTCAATTATATGTGATATTAAACATACTCCTACATGAAGATAGATTATTGGAATGATGTGTAAATTGAATAATAGAATTTTCGTAAATATAGACCTGAAGTTTCTTAAATTTATAATGGGTTAAAAACCTTCTAGAATAATTTAGAAATGTCTAATAGTTTCAAAAGTATGTTGATCAAATTATCCTCTGCTCACAAAACTAATGTGTTCCTAAATATATATGTCATGTAGGGATCATATACAAAGTATTTTGATAAATATTGTTGATACCAAACTTTGGGTGAGCATTGATGATTCATATATAGCTAACTAGACTTAACTTAATAGCTCATTCCCATAAATGAATGAGAAATCGCATGATTGAAAGAATAACAAGTATTTGTTGCACGGTGTATGTTTTCATAATTATGTATACTTTATGGAATATTTCATTAGATATATGTATTGAGCAAGAAATAGTGTTATGAGTTCTAGAGATTAAACATGATATTGTGAGCAACTTACTTGAAAAATATTTTATTATGCCTAAAGTTTTAGGAATTTTCAATATAAATATTAATATAATTGGGCAAGAGGAACAAGTGATAAGGATAATTTCAATTGGCTTGATACATCATAAATGACATTGCCAAAAGAATTCATGGCTTAAAAGGTACAAGGGATTATAAAGGTTGTTGGATTAATTTCATACCCCATATGCAATGATTAGAGGGAGACAGTATTTATTCCACAAATTTATGTAATTCTTGCACATGAATAATAAATAATAAAAATATTGATGGTCAATTTGGTACATACATTAGCTTAAACATCAATTATTTATTCAATAGAGGCGATCGCATAATTATTAGATATTTAGAATGACACAATCTTGAAGATGGATTGAATTGCGAATATATATCATAAGACTATATACCAGATGTAATGATCTAATTAGAATTGATGTCCAGAAGGACAACATCAGTTGCTAATGAATCTAGAGCACGCTTGAAGCGCGGTAACCTATAGGTTCCAAAGATAAGAATCTTCAAAAAAGGAAAGGAGCAAATTTTGACAATGACAAATTCGAAAAGGTGATACATTTTGATAAATTTTATATATTTAGTAAAATTGATATATACCATGCATGATTATATAAATTACTCCAGAATTGAATAAAATGTCAAACAAAATTAGCATGTACCAAGATTTTAATTACTTAATGCTCTAGCAGATATGAGTCATTATTTGATTATCTTGCCAATTGTGGATAGAAACACATGTTGGTAAATTCATATCACAACATATTCATGGTCATGCATAAAGTATGTTGAATAAAGTGATCAGTGGTAGAAAACTCACCAGAATTTAAATTCAAAAAAGTGATTGGATGTGACATTTAAATTATGTCATCTATATATGTTTTGTAAATTCCCATGGTGAAACTAGAAATGTCATTTGACATAAAAGAAATAATGCGCTGACGCACTCTCATATATATATGAAATGAATTGAATGGCAAGACATAACATTGATATTGAGCTATATTTAGATTGTGATTTTTATAGTTTGTTCTTAAGGAATTTCTAAGATATATATTAACTTTGAACAACTTTGTATGTGAACATGTAAAAAGTAAATAGAAGTTCACATGTAACTAGAAGTTCACCAACATAGCTTACATGTTATTCACTATTAATTGACTGGAAGCTCACTAAAGTAATTTTTATATGATAATTTTTGGGTAACTCTCAATATTAAAGTTTTTGGGAATCCAAAAGATTTCCATCTAGTGGAATTACATAAAAGTTATTTATGGTTATATAAAAATCTCTTGATGAGGCTATATTAGTCAACATAAGAATAAGGAAAAGAAATGATAAATAACTGCACAATATACTCCTTCCTATGGATAATACTCTATAGAAAAGATAAATTGTGTTGAATATGATCCTGATCCCAAAAAATTTGTTGCACAATTGTATACTAAGTTGGTTAAGAATTTTGATGCCCCTATAGGTGCGTTTAGTTAATTTGAATATTTTGGTTTGAATGGATTATTCCTGAAAAAGCACTAGAGTTCTTGAATAGGTTGAATCAAACACACCCTATATTTGAGATGTTTTACCAACTTAGGGGGAGAAGAACTGGAATAAGTTGGCAAAATTATACATAGTTGATCCCTATAATAGTAATATGTAAAGTTACATGCATGCCAACTTTTGTATCAATATATGTTGCACATCTATATATGTTTTGATTTGTATACCGTTATGACCCATCAAAAGGCATAGAGAAGATACATTTTGGTCATATTAATGTGTGCATACATTGTGATAGATCTTGCCATTTTTTTTTTTTTGAATCACTACACCTAAAGTGTAGATTGTATGATTAGTTCCAATATAAATATGTGATATATGGCAAGATAGTGCAGTTGAAACTTTTAAGGTGTAATATAATATATAATTATCATACACTACAAGAAAACAGCTAGATTCCGACGGAATTTTCCCGTCGGAAACATAGGAAATTCCGTCGGAATCAAGCCTTCCGACGGAATTCCGTCGGAAGTAGTCTGTCGCAGCACCCTTTGTCGGAAATTCGACCTTTTCCGGCGGAAATTCCGTCGGAAGAGGTGATTCCGACGGATCTAATTCTGTCGGCGCCATTTTTGACTTTAATTGAAATTCCGTCGCAATTTTTCGACGGACATTTCCGTTGGAGGTGAATTGGTTTCCGACGGAATTTTTCGTCGGAAAAGGAATATCCCGACGGAAATTTCTGTCGGAAACGTCAATTAAAAAAAATATAAAAAAAAAGCAGCCCCCCACCCCCACACCCACACCAACACCAACACCCAGCGCCACCTCTTCCCACCCACACCCCCCACCAGACCACCCCTGCCCCCCCCCCACCCCTAACCACTAACCCACGCACACCCTAACCACCCCACCCCTTAACCCAAACCCACCCTAACCACGCCACCCCTAACCCAGACCCACACCCACCCTAACCCCTTTACCCAGACCCACCCTAACCCCATACCCCCACCCTAGCCACTAACCCACGCACCTTTACCTAGACCCACCCCACCCACCCCACCCCCTTTACCCAGACCCACCCTAACCTACGCATCCCAACCCTAACCCTGAACCGACCTAACCCAGACCCACCCTAACCCACGAATTACCACATCCACCTACCACCACCACCGTTTTACCACATCCACCAACCACCACCACCCTAACCCACC